CCCCAATATCTATAAACTCCCAAATTGAATTTTGCAACGTGAAAGATTCATGATGTCAGGATATTATATTTTATAATATTTTCCACTTTTCAAACATGGCAGAGGATGTAATGAGGAAATGACATTATTACTTTGATTCCCATCATGTTAATGAAAGCAATGTTAAAGTACCTCTCATTATAAGACAATTAGAATTTGTATTATCCCATGCCATGTTCATTGTTAAAAAACAGTTCTTAGACTGGGCATCTGTAACTGTATAGTGAGTGAGTATGGTTTTAAGCCGCTTTGAGCAATATTCTAGCAATATCACGGTGGGGGAAACCAGACATGGGCTTCACACATTTTCCCCCTGTGGGGAATCGAACCTGGATCTTTGGCGTGATGGCCGAATGCTTTAACCACTAGGCTACCCCCACCAACCCATTAACTGTATAGTATCTCAGTGGGCTTGCCCTATAAAACCAGCGCAAGTCCAGCAAGCAGCCACACAGACTTATGCATGCACCTCGCTGTATGTGATGTGAAATCCAGTCTCATGTCGTTTGATGTGAAGTAAGGGCACGGTGACCCACAACCATGATGGTCAAAGTACACTTGTTGCATCAGAAATGTATTGCTCAGGGACTCATATTGGACAGACGTTTTTTGTTTCCTCAGGAATTTCTTCCGTCTGATTATCTGAAGCACTTAAATGACAGATTTAATGACAGATTTAATGATCCACAGATTAATGAAGATGTAGTGACTGTGTAAGGGTTCAAAGTGGCAGATTTAATGATACATTTATTAATGAAGATATAGTGAAGATATACTGTGTAAGGGTTCAAAATGACAGATTTAATGATAGATTTAATGATACACAGATTAATGAAGATATAGTGACTGTGTAAGGGTTCAAAATGACAGATTTAATGATAGATTTAATGATACACAGATTAATGAAGATGTAGTGACTGTGTAAGGGTTCAAAATGACAGATTTAATGATAGATTTAATGATCCACAGATTAATGAAGATATAGTGACTGTGTAAGGGTTCAAAATGATAGATTTAATGATAGATTTGATGATACACAGATTAATGAAGATATAGTGACTGTGTAAGGGTTCAAAATGACAGATTTAATGATAGATTTAATGATACACAGATTAATGAAGATATAGTGACTGTGTAAGGGTTCAAAATGATAGATTTAATGATAGATTTAATGATACACAGATTAATGAAGATATAGTGAATGTGTAAGTTACTAGCTATACCACAGCCCCCCACTAATTGACTAGATTTGGCTAATTACCCTGGAATATTTTCTTTATTCGTATACTACAGAAAAACTATTGAATCTTTTTCAGTTATTTCTTCTGATATGTTTAGACAACATATTAAAGTAAATAATATCAAAAAATGGTGTTTGTTGTTTATTCAGTTAATTAGTGACAGCGAGGTGAGTGTCAGCTTTGGCAATCTGTCAAAGGTCGCGTCCCGTGGACCGTTTGATGGCAGTGCCCAGTTTCGTCGGGGTGTTTTCAAAACACCATGGTGCAGCTGTTTTAAGTTGAAATGTCATAGAAATTGGTGGACAGTAAGATCAGAAGATGGTCTTTCTTGTGGTATATTTTATATTTCGACGAATGCTGAGGAACGATGTATAATTGGCGTTTGAAAAACTCCCCATTTTCAAGTAAGTACACTCGCCATTTGCAGGGTAAGTCCGTTTTCAATCTGTAACATCAGCGTAGCATAAAGAGCAACATTTCCCCTTTATTTTGATGTATATATCAACAATATTAAAATTGGTTAACACGGGCGTGAGATCGCGTAATATGAAACTAGTGCCCGTTCAAAAGCGTGCCATTTTTCACCCCTCGAGCCCGACCCATGCACTAACGCTAACAGCAGTAGAAGCGCACATCACTACGGTTTCGACCTCTGTCTGACTACTACAGAAAAACTATTGAATCTTTTTTCAGTTATTTTTTTTCTGATATGTTTAGACAACACATTAAAGTAAATAACATAAAAAATGGTGTTTGTTGTTTTTCGGTTAATTAGTGACAGCGAGGTGAGTGTCAGCTTTGCCAATCTGTCAAAGGTCGCGCGTCCGTGGACCGTTTGATGGCAGTGCCCAGTTTACGTCGGGGTATTTTCAAAGCACCGTCGTGCTGCTGTTTTGAGTTGAAATGTCATAGAAATTGGTGGACAGTAAGATCAGAAGATGGTCTTTCATGTGGTATATTTTATATTTCGAATGAATGAAGAGGAACGGTGTGGAATTGGCGTTTGAAAAACTCCCCATTTTCAAGTACTTTACGCCATTTGCAAGGTAAGTCCGTTTTCAATCTGTAACATCGCCGTAGCATTAAGAGCAACATTTCCCCTTTATTTTGATGTATATATCAACAATATTAAAATTGGGTAACACGGTGCGGAGATCGCGTAATATGAAACTAGTGCCGTTCAAAGCGTGCCATTTCACCCAGAGCCCGACCCATGCACTAACGCTTAACAGCAGTAGAGCGTAGATCACTACGGTTTCGGCCTCTGTCTGACAATATCCTATGTCAAACTGTTATGCATAGTAAATGGTGATCGATGAATGCTAAAATCGTCATCTACTGAAATGGATCTGTATGAAAATATTTGACATCGTAATATCTCTTTCCCAGAAACCGTTCCCACCAAAGACTGAGCTATTTTCACTCGGTTCTATTTACGGTTCATATTGTGGTGATTTCCGGTTCTGTCTGTAAACAGCATGATATTTAGCTAGTGTAGTTGACAGAAAATGGATACATATATATGTGTGAGTATATTGTTTCGCTAAAAGTCATATTTCTTGTAGTTTGGCGATCACATGTCAACAAATTGTTTTCGCGGTAGAAATAGCGAGATCGCGCAACATCTCATCGGTGACAGGTCAAATTGTTCCATGCACAAAAACTATCCGGCATGACATCAAAAAAGTGCTCCCGCATAACCTTAGTTATGGTTACAAGTATTTAACATTTATAGAGCAAAACCAGTAATTACAAAGACACAATTCTAGAATTTATCGATCTTGGTTAAATAGTAGTTTAGATAGCATATTTTACCGATCACTGCTCCAGATTTCATCTCGTTATATTACTGGGTATGTTTTAAATAAATCACCGTAGATCGCATACAACGCGTGTGCACAGCTGATTGCTATTTCGGTTCTGTATACGACAAATATGCACATCGTAATCTTTATCCCTGCATATAATAAAATGCCCAGCGTGAACAAAATTACAACTGAAAAGGTACATAATCTTGTCATGGTTAAGTTGTTTTGATAACGCCTTTCAGTAGAGAGTAGGGTAATGGGGTAATGTCAATCATGAGCTTAATACACTAACAATGCGGCAGGAGATACAATCTATATTGTGTTTATTGAAATTATTCTAAGCAACGGCTGTGATTTATTGTCTATTCCTCCAGCATCGGTGATCGTAAATGTTATTTCTAACGTCCGGTAATTTGGACAGCTCAAGTAGCTTAGATTACGCTAAACTTTTTCATGTTTTTATGACCATGGCAACACACACGTAACTTCTCACACATTTTAGATTGCCTATAAAATAAATCTCAAGCGATGGGCATCATAAGCTGACATTCACACTGAAGTTAGAACTTTATCAACATATCCACAGTAAGTTATATCAAATCAACATTTGAAGGATTTCCATAACTTAGGGACGAGATATTATATCTGCATTTAATAAATTCCTCTGCACAAAATTATTTATTCATTGGTTAAAAATGAAGCATACAACTTTATGGATGATAACTACTTTTTTATTGCATATAGCAACGCTTCGATGTAGACTGCGTCAAGCTAAAGGTGAATACAACCAAGTGACTAACAACACTACTCCTGGTAATATAATTCATTGTTAGAGGCCACTAGGGGACTAAGAACAACAAATGAGACTGGTATCGGGCTAAAATAAACAAGAGGGGATTTAGTTGTAATGACAAACTATTAGCCAAAAGGGAATTAAGTCGTAATAACAAACTGATAGGGTTGTTGTTACAACTTAATCCCCTTGTTTACTGGCATTGTCACCTGTCTCATTTTGTTGTTGTTACTGTTAGTCCCCTACTGGCCTCACACTATTGCCTATACTAGCTTGTATTCAATTATATGTTGTTGTTAATGTTAATCTGCTTGTTTGTCGTAACATTACTATGTATACATGTATATACCTCATCTTCTGGTTGTATTCACTTTATAGCTTGATAACGGGTGCTAGATTACACTGAGAACAACACCCACGCTTATCTGGTAATATACAAAAGTCATCCATCAACTTGTGTGTTTGATTTTTTGACTCACAAAACATCTAGAAGGCAGATCAGACAATATTTATTGTTTGATTTTAAAAAGTGCATTTGTCACTGTAAGTACAACAACATTTCAGCTGATTTTTCTGTTTTACTGGTGGTAAATCCCAGATTAAGTAATATAATAACTATATGCACATCTTAACTGATCTGAAATTTTATGTAGAAATTCGAAATTAATCATTATTTTCATCAGAATATTTTGTAAACATTTATAGAATTGTTATGGTAATCAGTACATTTCTAACTGGTGTGAGGAACGTTAAGCTAATGTTAACAAAAATGTATATAATATATATTGTTATTCAGGTCAGATCATCTGCGCCTCCTCGGCATCTCATCCCTTCAGCTATGAGTGAAGTTCCTTCACCCAACCAGTATTCCAGGGATGACTCATAGTCCATCATCAGATGTCAGTTTAATTTTTAAGTAGCCTCAGCCATCCTGAGCCGAAATCTGGTGGGAGAAATGTTTTTCCTCCCAAGCAATACGTAACCACC